CCCCATCCCCCACAAATCCGCGCGTCCGCGCGTCCAGCGAAAAAAAATCCGAGGCGCCTCCAAGTGGCGAGCTCACAGTCCTTGGGGGCCTCCGCGCGGCAGGTGCTGCTGTCCAGGTTGCAGGCCCTGCGTGGCCGGCGGTTTCCGAAGGGTTTGGTTTGGTTCAAGGGTGGTTTAGGACTGATTTGGGATGGTTTTGGAATGGTTTAGGGATTTTTTAGGGCGTTGAGTTTTAGGCATGACTTAGGCGGCCTGGCATCCCAACAGAAAGGTTGCGCAATTGACCCTTGTCCAGGGGCATATGGCAAGCATACTGTGGATGAACAAAATCATTTTCGCACCACCGCTCAGAATCCCTGGAATGATGACTCCCTTGCAAATACCAACAAGCAATGGCTTCCGCATGGCTGCTTAGGTGGTGCAGGATTTTGTCCATCCACAGTAGGGAAAACATCTTTCCGCGAGGCTTGCTCCAAGGTCATGGACCTCCCCTTGGGTCCGATGGGAGGGCAATGGGGTGAGGCGAGGGGGGGCTATAGCCTGTTAAGCCCTTAAAAAAGGGCTTATTAGGCCTCATCATTGCCTTCCCCCCTCCGCATAGCTCCCTATAGACTCATGACCAAGACCCCATGGCACTTTGCGAGAACAATTGGCGCCATGATTCCACTAGACAACCGGCAATCCCCGCTACCGTGGACGAAATCCGTTTGCACCACCTAAGCAGCCATGGTTGAAACCATCAATTCGTTGGCTTTTGCAGGGGGGTCATCGTTCCAGGATGGTGCGAACTGGATTTTGTTCAGCCACACCATGACTTCACTTGTGCAACGGTGGGCATCACCAAGGCAGGATCGCAGCATAGCCAGACGTTCTTCCGCCCTCTCCAGTTCTGTTTTCAAGACCAATCATCGGATCCAAAGCCCCCGTCTAAGGTGCCATCCCCCTCCTTCCCCGCGACTAAGAAGGCGTTTTCAAGGGGTTTCAAAGGAAAGAAACTCACAACAGGATGGGGGTTTGTATTAAGGGTGGGGGGCTTTGGGAATCTATGAGCGAAGGCTGGCAACGTGCATTTTCCACACAGAGCACGCGAATCGCCGCCCACACTGCGCTACGAGCCAAGCGCGAGACCGGGTTGCCACATAACAAATGACTTCTCGCATTCCGAAGGCGGAGCTTGCTGATGCAGCTTTCTCCTGAACAGGAGGCAAGGCTAACACAACATCAAGCAACAGTGGGACAATTGGTGAGTGCCCCGGGTTTTGTTGGAGAATTGAGCAGTTTCGCACCTCAACTCAAGCCAGTTGCCCATCGGAGAATGTTTGGTTCATCAGTTCCATGTCGTGAACCCATCAAACATAAAACGCGTTCAAGGACGGAATCCACTCAGCAACTGGGTGGGCCCAGGATGAATAATAGTCTGGCTGATTGATCCGCCCACCTGCGCTGGACACGTCTTCCACCTGTTCGTGGGGGACTCACCAGACAAACAGCTATTCTAAGTGGAATTCACTGAGCAAATGGAGCCATCGGAGGCTACAACCCCAGTCACGCTGCCTTAACGAGCGAGGGGCCAGCACTCACAGCTCCTCATCTGGTGGGACCGCTCCCCAGCCTCTCAAGCGTGCGAGGCGCAAAAACCCGACCCCTCGCTGGCTGCCTTCCCCTAAACCCGGAGGTAAACATGAAGAACGGCTTTCAAACTTCAAATGAAACAACCTTGGCTGTTTGGCTCGGATTCGGAACACCCCCCCTGTAAGGAGCAAAGAAACCCGGAGTCGCCAAATTATCCAGACGTCTGCGCTAATTACTTGGGCCGTCTTGAAGGGTCATGTCGAGTCATGACGGTCCCCTCGGCTGTCTACCATCAACAATGAGACTGTCCTTCAAGCACCCTTTGCGTTTTCCCAGCAACCAGCAACTTCAAATGTAGCTTCTGACATACATTGCGAATCATGGCGAGCCTCAAAGGGAAAATGATACCAAAGAGGTCCTGGGGGGCTGGGAGCCTGAAAGAGCCTGGCTTGTTTTGGGCCCCCATTTCAAACCCCAACCAACCGCGAGATTCACACATCCTCACCCATTTATAAAAGGAAGCCACCCACTTTGAAACCAACAGGGGGGAGATGAAACATACTCTCTGTTGCCCAAAGGACCCAGAAATCACAGGTGATCACCTTTTGGGGGCCACCAACAACGGGAACCCAACAATTTCCAAAAAAAGTCAGATCCGGTCGATTTGATTTGGTTGCAATTGAGATATTCTTGAACAGCTTCTACAATAATTCCATAAGCTGATTTCAGGGATCCCCAAGTAAGGGACCACCATCATGGTGAGCTCGTTTTCTTGCAATTAAATTGCCAGATAGTCTTGCCACTACCCGCAGAATTTTAATGGGATATGCAACCACTATATCGCTGCTATATCTTCAAGAGCCTATACCCCAATTTGCCCTGAGGGTAGTGGTTTGGGAGTAGCGGAAACCATCCTTGAAAATGTAAGAAGACCGGCAAGTTGTTGTTTTTGCGGGAACCCGCCAACAAAACAAAACAAACAACGCCTAAAAACCAGTGAAGGCAATTGCTCTTAGTATCATTTCCGCTCTTAGTATCCCTCTTTTCCGCTCTAAGTCTCCAATTTTCCGCTCTTAGTTAGACCGGCAAATTGTCGTATTTTGCCGCCCCCTACTAACCATGAAATACCAACAAAACAAAACAAAACACACCTAAAAACCAGTGAAGGATGTTCTTGCGCCAATGGGCTCCAACCTCCTCTCGTCCTCCCCGCCTGCGGCGGCGCCCTGCGCAAAGTCGCCGAAGCGCACCGCCAGCATGCGCCCTGGGAGCAGCTCCTGGCGTCTGGCGTGGCGGCCCCCGGCCGAAAACCTGGTGGTCCAGTGGTCCTTTTGGTGTGCCAAATGCTTCAAACATTCTGGGGGTTGATTCCTTGTCCATTCTTTTCAGCCATCCTTCTTTTCAACCGGATCTGTTTCCCCTGGGTTTTTGGTGGTTTCCTGAAAAGAAGGATCCCTGGAAAGACTGGCGGGAAGGTACCCCTAGAAACATGGGGTACCGTCAAAAAAAACTTTTCTAGAAAAAAAAATAGACCCCTTTTGAACCCCCCTTCCCCGCCTATTAATTTTACTCGGAGAACCCTGGAATCTTCTCAGGGGGCTAAGGGGGCGCCAATTCAGCGCCAGCCGGTCTACTACTGAGATGCCGGTTTGTGCAAAGCAGGGTTACCTGTACATCTATATGCAGAATGTACACACACATATAGATATACATATATATATATATATCCATATTCATTTGACCCTTTGGTGGTTGTAAACATTCCCTTTTGGGCCAATGTAAGTGATGTGAAGTGAGTTGAGTCTCCTCTGTGGGTCTGTTCTCTTGCTGGTGGATGTCCACTTCAGAACTGTCGGGGTGACAGATCTGGAGGAAGTCCCATGGCAATGGGCCTTTGATCACTTCTTCCTATTAACCAACCTGCCCCTAACAATAAAGCTTGCCAAACAGCGGCAAAAAATCGGCAATACTAATTTGGCAAATACTAAGCCAATACTAAACTCCTGAGACTCACATGCTTTCCACCAAGCTCCCAAAATATGCTTATTAGGGTCCCCCCTCCGGTGTGTTGAAGCAAAGAAGGCTCCACGTTTTGTTTGACACCCAAGCTGGCTGACTCACTAACCCTTCCAAGCAAGTTTTATAATTAGGGTGTGGTCGCCCAGCAACCTGAAACAAGCAATTAGTTTTATGAGACGGACCATGGGACACTCCCTTTCAAAGTTCTTACTTAAAAGTTGCAATCTGAGCATGTTTTTGCTCCAAGTCAAAGGGGGTCCACTTTCCAATGCAAGTCCAATAGCAATTACAACCAACCAAAAAACAAAACCCCAATAAAGTTCTATTATTAGGGTCTGTTCGCCAACCAACCCAACACAAGCAAATATTCTTTAGTGAAACTCACCATGGGACACTCCCTTTTGAAGTTCTTACTTAAATTTGCAATCTGAGAAGTTGTTGCTTCAAATCGGTCCACTTTCCAATACAAGTCCAATACTAAACTGCTAACTATCAACTGGACCTAGGCCCAAACCGGCGACCCCTAATAATAAAACTCCCCCCCTGGTGTTTCCATTGGGGGGGGACCGGGTTTTTATTCGGGAGAAGCGATTAGCGTTGAGGTCGTGTTGAATCTCAGGCAAAGTGCGAACTGGATGCAAACCATGCACCATATGCAAACCATGCACCATATGCAAACCATGCACCATATGCAAACCATGCACCATATGCAAACCATGCACCATATGCAAACCATGCACCATATGCAAACCATGCACCATATGCAAACCATGCACCATATGCAAACCATGCACCATATGCAAACCATGCACCATATGCAAACCATGCACCATATGCAAACCATGCACCATATGCAAACCATGCACCATATGCAAACCATGCACCATATGCAAACCATGCACCATATGCAAACCATGCACCATATGCAAACCATGCACCATATGCAAACCATGCACCATATGCAAACAAGCACGGCACAGCAGCTCCCTCACACATTCTCGCCCACTTTTGCCACCGCCTTCTCGAGTCGGAAATGCCAAGTGGCCTGCACATATGGGGGTTTCTCGAAATAGGGCCGCCTGCAAGGGGTCGGGACCCAATTTTGTGTTTCAATAATTCGGAACCTAAAGCAAGGAATCCCCTAAGCAAGGGACCTGCGCAGGCGAGCTCGATTTACCCCATCGGTGAGCTCGCCACATAAGCAAAAGTGATCCAAAAGTAGGAGCTGCGGCTGACGTCCGAGTGCCATGCCAAAGTCCCATCCCCATGTCTCGTTGATTTGTGCTTTCTGGGAATGCGCTTTGAAGCAAATCACCCTAAACTAAACTTCCCGGACACATGCCTTCCGTGCCCGAGACCCCTCGTGGAAGACTAGCTTCCCTCTAATGGTTCAATTTCCACAAACCACCAATAAGGGAAACCAGACAATTACCTCTTGCCCGGAGGTCATCGCCCAATCCTTGCGGACGCTGCCTACAAGCGCCAAGGGCAATCCATTGGCACGGGCCTGCCGGCCGCAACCTGCCGTTTTGACAATCAAGATGCGGCCTTCAAAACCATATCCCAGGGGGAAATGTAGGCTGGTGGAGATTTTGCCAGAGAATCGGCAACTTCGCGCTGAAGAGAAAGGATAGAAGCTGAGGAACTCGCCGCAACAGCGCTCTGGTCAAGAAGCTGGAAATAACATACAGTAATTCAATGCAATCTTTGGATAAACCTGGGCCACATTCAGAGCAAATCCCCCTATATCCTCCTGAAATGAATGAACTCGCCACTAAAAGCGGCTTGTCACCCCTAGTTAATACGCTTCTCCTTTTGACTACTCCGAAGTTGACGATATAAGCTCAGTTGATATGAAACGGGCACAACTCTCTTCGGTCAAGCTCCTTCTGGTTAATCCGAGTTTGACACGTTGCGTACTTCCAAGACACTACCCTCTAACTGTGGGCCTGCCTGAAAAATTCAGGAACCCTTCTTCTGGTCTTGGATTGGGCGCGGGTTTGTCAGGTCGTTCGCGTGTCTCTCAGGTCGCCTCGCGTGTCTCTCACGCCTTCCACGGCATATCCTTTGGCACGGCCAACGCGAGGTCCTTGCGGCTCCAAAGCTATGCCCTCCAATTGTCTGTGGCTTGAGGATCTCTGGAAGAACCAGGGCTTCAAATTCCCAAGCCACCAATCCAAACCACTCATTAAGGCTCACTTGAGCGATGCCATGTTTTCAGGGACATTTTAAACATGGCCCCCTTTCTTTCCCAATGGTTTTCACGCAAAGGTCAGTGTGGGTTAGAGCTTCTGACTTTGACAGTCAAAGAGCCTCATTCTAGCTAGTGAAAGGGACACCACCGGGAAACCAATCATTTTGGGGTTCATCTTCAGAAACAGCCACTGTGTCTCAGTGTTGCTCATCAACTGGGTGTGTCTGCTTTTGCAAAATGGTGTTTTTCCTTGTTTCCCTTTAAACACCCCCAAGGAGGGGGCCTCCAAAAAAAGCCTGGCCCGAAAATGGCGCCCCTCGATCGGCGCTTGCCGGCCCCCTCCTGGAGGCCCTCCTGCGCCACCTTCTGCCCCGCCACCGCGCAGGCGCAGCGCAAGGCTTCCGAAGCCGAGGCGCCTGGCAACGCGGGGATCGCCGATCTGCCAGTGGATCCCCAGGCCATCCATACTTCGCCCCTCAGGACCCATACAAGGTGATCACATGGGACCTTGACGAAACATGGACCAACAGGGAGCTTGAAAGTCAAAAGGTCGATTCGCCCTGTGGGCAAGTGAGCATATAGTAGGTGACCAGTTTTTCCATTTTTTTTTAACGGGTGGTTCCCTCGGTGGGCCTATGGGGTATGTGATGAGACACGCCCACTCAACGCCCGGAAAGCCAAGAAAAAGTGCATGGCGGAACCGCCAAGCTTTGGTTGAACCTGGCTCTGCCATCTACTATCTGGTTCATGTCATAGCTTTCAGCGTGCTGCTAGGCAGATCAGAGCAGTGCCGCAAAGCGAACAACATGTCGCTTGCATATGTGCATCTATACAAAAGGTTCTGGTTTTGAGATGGGATGTGATGCAATCAACGAGTGGGTGCGAGAAGTTCGTCGGATTTGGGATGCGTTGTTGGAAAGGCTTGGGTGCATTTTCTCATGGCAGATGCTGACAACCCCCCCCTGCGACACAGAATCAAAGAATGGAATACGCTAGCTGGTGTTGTCTGAGCCTTGAAGCTGGGAACTCCCTCACAATGGACGCCACTCACGCCCATTGCACCATTCAAGATCGAACCCTTCGTTTCATTGGTCTCTCCAAGCCAAACAGTTGGAATATTCCAGCCAGAGAGCTGAAACCGTGCCCAAGCTGCACGGCGTTCCCAGCAGTCGTTCAGGGGAAGCCCCCCGACATCGAACAAGTGCGGTTGGGCCACTCTATTGCCAGGCACCCTTCAAAGGGCAACTACCTCAGCTTTTGCCACAAGCAACGGTCCCTATTCAGTTGACCCAAAGGACTACAATAAAGACTATGATGAATGCAATAGCATTTCAAATCTATCCCAAACACATGGGTAAACAAAGCCGGAGCCCTGTTTCAGGGGTTCCTTCCAATTCGGGGCAACTGGGTGGAATTGCAAGGGCATCTCAGGTTTGAGCTTACCGCAAAACCACCGTAGAGAAAAACAACAACAACTCCAACTGTACCACCCCCACCCCGCCCAAACAAAAAAAAGCAATATACCCAACCGTACATCAAGTGAGTCGCCCCCCCCCCCCAAACCCCAAGGAAAAAACTAGCAGTCAGAAACTTAACGACCACGTCATTCCTTCTCCAGGCCTGAGGCCAACGCGTAGATGGCTGCGGCAATAAAGGTGTCCCCGGCCGCCACCGTCTCCACCGCACGCGCCTTCCTTGGCCAGACCGACCGGTCTGCGCCCACAGAGGCCCTGCTACCTATTTGTGGGTGGACGAAAACCTGCGCCGATTTGGAACCCATGGTTGAAACCCACAGTTTGCTGGTATTTGCAGGGCAATCAAATCATCCTTTTACAGGTTTAACCGTTTGGTGGGTTCGTCGATCCCTCGCTGGAAGTTCTAACTTGCGAAGAGGCGCATGTTTTGGGTTCGGCTCCCAACTCGTGCCCAGTTTTTTTAACCGGCCAGCTTGTGCAGAAAAGTATCTGAAAGTGAGACCGCAGTTTTCTGTTCTCAGGTTTTCAGGAATTTACTCAGGGGTCCCCTCGAAGCGGGCTTGTACACCTCTTGGGAGGCCGTCTCAGAGGCAAATCCTGAAAACCACAAAGCTGTGGCTGCCTTTTTTGCAATCAGGCTTTTACTTCCGCCCCCAGAAACGCTTTTATGCCTAAAAATGACCGCTCTGAAACCACACAGGTTTCAGGAAACACCTGGGTCTGGAACCCTCTCACACAAAATGAACCCACTAACATTTTTTGAGGTGTTTGAGGACGTTGCCAGGGATTTTCTGCTATCACATGGATAAGATTCGAAACCGGGAACTCCAGCTACTGTAGCAAGTAAACAGAAGGCCGCCTACAGGTGCGGGTGCGAAACCTCCTTGCCAAACAACGCCGTCACCCTCAAATACTCGCCCCGTCTGGGTGGTTGTCAAAGTTATGGCCGCACAAAAGATGACTGGGTGTCAAAAAACGGGTCCCTTACCATCCACGAAACAATACCCTCCCAAATGGCGATCTTCTTTTCGGTATGAAAAAAAGGGGCATGTTTCAGTGGGAGCATTTTTTGTCAGGACACATGTTCTGGCTAAGTCCCGTCTCTGCATCCCAGTCTCTCTGCGGCTTGGAAGAAGCTTTGCTTGGCGGCGGTGTCATAGGCGAAGGCGCCCAAAGAGCCCCAAGCGCAAATCCAGAGCGCCGCCTTGTCAGGGGTTGCCTTCCCACCCTGACATGGAACCTGACGAATTCGGGACCCGGTCACTTAGGGAAAATGGCCCAAACCAGGACCTGTGTTTTTCTTTCTTCATTTTTTTCCGAACGAATGGGGGGGGGGGGGAACTAACACGTTGTAACCCAATAAGATCCTGATACCATTGGACAAGCACCAGGGGGATGGCGGTTAGAGAGGGTGGATCTCCTGATGGCAAGCCCGTCCCCACCTGGGCGTTGCACGCCGCAGCCCAGGTCTGCAAGCAGCGGAGGGCCGAATGCCTCGGACTCAGCCGCACGCCTTGTGCACAGACATCTCTTTGAGGTCATGTTGGTTGATGTCAACCCTTGGGCCACATCTGGGTCACACGGAAAGTCACGTGCTCAAAAAATACTCTTAGAAAACGCTAACAAAAAAATTAAACGGGTTTGGAGGAGCCGCCGCGAACTCAAGTGGGTGGCCCCTGAAGATGCAGAAAACATCAGGGGATAATCCCAGAATCCAACACTAGCAAATGGGAGAATTGATGGAAAGGTTTGGCTTTTTCTTCCGAAACAGGGGGGGGGGAATTGAGGGGGGGGGGGGCAATCCAACTACTCAAAGTGTACTTTGCCTTTCAAGCCCCTCAAAACGTCCTTTTCTTAAGCGCCTCCTTACTGGCCAAATCCCAGACCTCCAGAAACCATGGGAGCAACACGGAAACCTCTTAGGAACATGCCCCAAAAGTGCTCCCAAACCCAGGATTGGGTAAAACCCTGCAATCCCTGATTTGGTCCCTGAACAATCCGAGCAGCTTCTGCCAGTCATCACCATCTGCTTCTCCCGCGGTCGGCGCGTGTGCCTTGATGTAGTCGCTGGAGAAGAAGACCACGTCGCAGCGCGAGAGCATGGGAAGTACTGCTTGGAGATCCATCGAGGGCTTCTCAATTTCAACCTCAATGACGGCAGCTTCTCCAAACTTCTGAAATCAAACTTCTGGGCTGAAGCTAAAGCTACTTGGAATCCCCTGAACAAATCTAAGCTTCCAAACCAGTTCCAAAAAGGTTGCTGCAAAGAAGTCATGTTTCAAGGTGTACCGGGGTACTTGCTTCTAGCCCCGCAACTCGCCACAACCGAACTTCGAATAAAAGGGTACTTTGAAGGGGCCTGAAAACAGGTTAAACAGGGGAGTGCACTTTGATTGATTCGATTCTTCTACATCCCCTTCAGACGAGCCCAAGCCTGGAGGAACTTTTGAACTAAGCTTCTGAAGCTGTAGTTTGTCTTGTAAAAGGGCAGTCGGTACCCTTTTCAGGACTGGATCAATTGGGCCTTGCGAATGCCTGAAATCCGCCTGGGAATCAGCCAGCCACATTCCCAAATCATCCGTGACATATTTGTTGCGCGCCCTGTGACAAGAGAACATCTGTGCCCAGCACAAGTTAAACCTGGGGCAAGCATCGGACCAAACTCCAGAAATATTCCAGACCAGGGTTCCACCCTTTGACTGCCCCAAAGTAGACTTAAACCCAGGGGTTGCAGATTTTCCCTCAAAGGGAAACTCCTGGGTTTGAGAAGAACATTGCCCCGCTGTCCAAACCAATGACGGTCGATTTGTTGGGAGGAAGCGTCTCATCTACAAACAAGCCCCCAACAAAGGACATGGCTTTCCAACCCCAACTCAGGCTTCCTCGAAACATGCACTCCTAGGGACATCTGCCGATTCACTCACAATACTTTGGGTTGGCCAATCCACAATCCCTTTAGAACCATTACAATCCTATTCACAGCATGTGATTGGGCCATGCTCGCCCTCTTGTTTGTTTGCTTGTGCCCCAGGCCCCCCTGCCTGATCAATCAAACAGGCCACCTCCCTTCCATCCAATTGAGCCGGTACAGCTTTAAAGTTGCAAATGACCGGTATTGTCCAATGTAACGATCGCCACTTCTGGAGATCCAACCCGCCCCCCCCAAAAAAAAAACACAAAAGGACATTCACGGACCCCCGTGTCCCAACCCAAGGAGGAAGCACGACTCCGCCGGCGTTTTCGTTTTCTCAGCCTTTGGCGTCACAGGCGCCGAGAGGACCGCCTTGGGGCGCAGCTCGCGGCTCAGCTGCGCCATGTCGGCCACGCCCAGCTGACGACACTCCAAGTGGCACCAGCAGAAGTCGTTGGCCCGCAGGACCTCGGCGCGGGGTTCCGATGGGGAGGCTTGGGCGCAGAAGTCTTGCGCTTGCCGAAAGGACCTGGAAACTAAAGGTTCGCCTTTGGTAAAACCAAAATGGACCAGGAAAAAATGGCAATGGAAAAAGGCTCATTTTGAGGAAAACAAACATCGACCAATGGGAAAACCAAAAGCTCAGAAGGTTGGCTTTGGACAAGCGAGAAGTGCTTTGACCGATTCATTACCGTCGGAGAACCAGCGTCTTTCGTGGTCTTGGGTGAAAAATGGAATGGCCCCTCCCACACCGGTCCTGGGAAAATTGGGCGACGGCCCTAACAGAGAGCGAAGCAAAGATCGGAACGTGGCCCAACATGTTCGGGTGTGTCTGTCTTTGAAGGTACCCTTTTAAAGTAGCCCCCCCCCAACAAAAACACACACACACAAACAAATCAAAAACGACGCCCGGAGCGATGGCTCACCCACCCTCACCGACATCTTTCGTTTGCCTGCGCCAGGTGCGAAGGGTCCATCTCTTTCAGACCGGAGCGGTGTGAGATGATGGTTCTGGCCCCGCTGTCCTGGCGGGGGCAGTGGACCAGTGGAGAGGTGGTACCTGGTTTTTCTTTGGTTTCTCTTGGTGCTTGAAAATGTTCTTGTTGGTTCCCTTGGTTCATTTTTCCCATTGGTTCCATTGGTGCCTTGGCTCCTTCTTGTTCCTTTTGGTTTCCCAAATGGGGGGATTACGGCCTCGAACAAAAGCACGCCTTCGCAACTTGGGGGCCAGGGATGAGCAATTTCGCCCGCCTTAAACCGGAAACAGCAGACCACACGAGTCACCTTGATCCCTTGGCGCATTGATGCCGCAAGCTGCAACAAAAAACCATTGACACATACCAGCGCTGCTACTTCCTCCGAGCTCCTCGGCGAAGCTTTTTGCATGGGTGAAACCTAAAGTATTTGTTCCAGATAAGGACCCCACTGCCCTCCAGCGGTCGCTTTGGCCACCGGCACGCCTCGCTGAGGAGCACGAAGCTGGTGGGTAGACCCGCCCCAGGGATTTCTTGCAGTTGGGAGGTGTCCACGCCGTAGCCCTCCAACGTGGACACCGCGAATGCGGCGTCCGGGTTGCCCCGATCCTCGTATCAGGCGCCGCTTGGCCGACTGAGTCTGGGTACAAAGAGGGCCATAAACCGCGTAACCCCCCTGATTGGAAGGGTCACAACGACGCGGCCAAGTGCCCCAATTGCCGAAGAACAAGCTCGGAACGTCACTAAAAGGAAACCGCGCTTTGAGAGAGCCGTGCGTGTTTGATTTTTACAGGAAAGTAGCCAGTGGGAGGAGCAACCCTGCTTGATATTCCATGGCTGCACTGGTAAATCAATGAGTTCATTTGAGTTGAGCCACTGCAGAGCTACAAAACCAAACAAATGTGCGGGCATCAGTCTAGCCACCGCCACGATGATTTAACTTAAGCTCCGCCACTTGCTTCATTTGGATGCCAATTCTAGGCTCAGAAGCCATTGGATCAATCGTGTGATTCGGAAACTTGGGGTCGCCCAGTTTCTGGTCGCTTGGGTTGGGCTTACCTTTCAAACGGCACAGCGGCAAATCTGGCAAAGCCTCTTGGATTCAACTGGGAATTCAAGCATCCGTGCATCCTCCTACTTACCATCACGCGTGCAAAAGCAAGCTCCATCACCGCCAACAGGCCGCGCTTTCCGCTCATGGGTTGGGACTCCAACTTGTCTTGGCTCAAATCAGGGCTTTCAGATTCGGTTTGATACACAAAGAATATCAGAAACATATGTTGAGTTCTGGCTCATGATCCGCCAGCCCTCAAACCTTTTTGGAGACCCAGTTGCAGCCCAGCAGCAGGGATGATGCTCAAAGTGCTCACCCGACCTCTGCCCAGAAGCTGCGCCAGAACGGTGCAGCTGTTGGCACTGTTACCTCCAAGCTTCTTGGAGTAGCCTGCGCTTCGCTCAGGCTCGAATGGCGCCAAACTGAGCAGCCCAACTCCTATGGATGGCTGGCACCGCCAGACAGGCGGCCTTTTCAGAGCTCAATGCCGTTTGGTTATAGAGCAAAGTCTATACATCACTTAGCTTGTACGGCTGCAATGCCAGATGCTAGGACAACCTACCAAAAATTATAGTGGAGGCTTTGGGCTCCCGTTCTCCCACAGCAGAAAATGTTGCACTGAGTTTCTGCTACGCTGCCATGGGTTGACAAACAGCAAACTGAATCCCAAGGGGTTAAGCTGATCCTTGCGCAATATTCATGCCTTTCACACAGAAGGCCTGACACCATCCCTAGAAGACGGCAGTGAGCCCTTGACCCCAATGCTGGGTTCTATTATATAGTCTTTGGCTCGGCCCCTTTTGGCCGCTGAATCACCTGCCAAGCTTTGTGGTGTATTGCAGGGGCACGGCTGGGCCCGTGGGACTTTGAACGTCGACAAACATCACACAACGACAAACTCAATAGGCTGATCATGTCTTGGCCAGGCCTAGCCCTCCTGCGCAAAGCTGATTTCGCCACCGGGAAATATTAAAAATGAAGAAACCACAAACAGGCCTTGAAGAGCAATCACGCGAGTTGAAGCTTCGGGCGCAATCCGCTGGACTCGGAATGACAAGGCCCGCTAAGCCCGTTTCGAAATGCGCCTGTCGCCCGCTGGGCGGAGTCCTCCTTGGGGTAGCTTGGCACTTTGAAGGCGCAATCCAGGCAGATGTTTCCATACCTCGGCAGGGCCATGAGCCAAGCAGTACTTCACATGCGAGCCATGGTCAAGGCTCGTCTGCAAGTGGTATGACAGATGGGCGTGCAAGATGCATGTTGCCAAGATGTTTTAAGGATGCTTTGGTGAGCGTTCCGGTGGGCCCAAACTATGCTGATGCTTGGGCCCCAAGATATATGGGTTGAGAAGCTTCGGCCCAAAATTCAAAGGCAAGCAAACTTGCTACAATGTAGTCACCAAAACGTCCCGGCCTCCTCAACCCAGGTTGTTCCACATGTCCCATGGTGAAAACCTTTTGTGCGGGCCAATTGCTTGTTGCAGGGTAAGCCACAAGGAAAGAAAGGTTGTCTCAATTCTGTGTGGGCACACGACCAAGTCAGACGGGCCCAAACGACCATGCACAGACACGGGGCCAGCTTCCCAACGCAAATGCGAGATACGCGCCTGTGCATCTTGTTTTTGGACATGCAAAATGGTGGTAGCGCTTTCCAATTCCCTTGAGCCAAACTTTTCAAGAGGGCGCCCACTAAAAATGTACGCCCATATGAGTGCAGCCCAGGCGCAGCAGGAAGCGGCCTGTAAGAGGCGTGGCCAGTGGGAAGAAGCTCACCGTCTCATCCCGCGGCCGCTTCATCGAGGAAACGGAAAAGCAAAATTGAAAGCAACACTCGCGAACCAAACTGGGCTTCCCAAAACGCGGTTAAGCGCATACAAACACCTGAGGGATACATTTTGGCAATTGTTGGGCCCTGGTCGAATGTGGCACGCTCGGGTGCTTGGGTGTTGCATCGTGCTGCCATCGGATTTTGGTTTACATATGACGCGCATGCGTGCGTAGGATGAATGTCTGCCTTCAGCCTTGGAAACTTCGGTCACTGCGAGTTGCAAGCTAGGGGTGGCATGTGTGGCCAACAGACAAGTTCGAGACTATGGCACGGCTCCACGCCGGCTCGGCTCCCGACCATCAACTTGATGAGGGCTGGACAATGGGACATGAGAATTTGTATGCAAACAAAGCTGATGCTGGTCTGGCCTTGTTTTTTCCCTGTGAATGCCGCCAACAAAGGAGCCGGGAATGAAACTCCAAGAGGTCAGCCGGGTTCCCCTAAATTCGACTTTTAACCCAACACTAATTCAGAGCGTATTCAGAGCCACATAACATGTGATCATGGACAATGAAGGGCCCGGGATGGTTTTTCATCGTGCCTGTCATAGATACGACTAATTAGTCATTGCGCGGCGATGGCTCTCCCTGCCATCGCTTTCCAAGTTCTCTGGGAAGCTTGGCGGCCGCGCCTCGTGCAAGGCTTGGTTTGGATCAAAGACCATCTCCTCAGCAAGACGCCACCAGCGGACCCCCATGATTAGTGCAAAAAGGGTGCATAGCCTTGCTTATTACAAACAAATCAACAAGGGCACCTAAGCGGCCCTTAGACAAGCTCGTGGCAGCCCTGCAAGTGCGCGACACTTGCGAAAGCGCCATGCACCCGACTCAGCTGTCCTCCAGTGCAGCTTTGAAGCCTGCGCAATGCCAGACACTTGGATGACACCCCCCACTTAGTAACTGATGCAGGCATATTCCGGTCCGCAAGGGGACGTGTGAACTAGTCGGCTTTATTGACAACTTTGAAATTGTGACATTCCAGCAACATCTTAAAACGCTTGCAGCACTCCCACCCTGCCAGAACTGTGCGGCAGCTAAACAATCTCAGCATTGAGAGGACAAAAGCCAACTAATTGCAGCGCACTGCATGACTTATTGCGGGATATTGCGGGCAGCCAGCATGTGCCCCAAGCTACCACTCATGCAGATTCAAAGTCAGCATGTGCAACTCGGAGGTGCCTTCAAGATATCTTTGCTGCGGGCTCCAATGTATTTACGCTACCTAAGCATGAAATTGCATGGCGGCAAATGAAATGTGAAAAGCTCAAGAACTTTGCGAATGCAACAAAAGCATGCAAACACGTTCACACGTTCACTCTCCAGAAGCCACATTAGCTTATGCCCTGTGTAGGCAACGACAGGCATTACTGACAGCAGCAAGGGCAAACATTGGTTTCCAAATTGCACACTTGCTTTGACTTCACGTTACACATGATGTTCATGTTTGCGGGGAGGCGTGCAAAAAACACAATAATACAAACAAATGTGCGCCATTGCCCGCTGCACAGGCCGAGTCAGCAATCAAATATAATCCGAAGTTGCAAGCCTGACCAGTGTTGAATCAGGGTGTCCCCTTAACATTCGATTCCTGTGCCCTTACGACAATGCAGCAACTTGATCATAACAGCTGCCTGGGACAAGACAAGCAACCAATGGCGGGCATGTCCTTTCTAGGGACCTTCATTCCAAGTACTAGCAACAATGTGAAAATGACAAAGGTTACTTGCGTTCAAACACCTTGGCGCAAAATGAACCCTATTCCAAATCCATGCACCACCAATATTACAAGGAAAGCGCGCTGCTGGCAGGCCTGATGACAGAACCCACGGCCAACCCGCCTGCCATTGCTCCTTCCTCGTTGGCCTTGCGGCTATGCAGCCGGATCAACGTGCGGGCCTAACAATTCCCTTGAAATTAATTATGGCTTGAAGCATGTGCGGGCCAACGACATTGAAAGGACATTTTGAGAACCCCTTAAAAGTTTCGCCTAGGGGACCCAATGGTTGGGTGCTCTTATCAAAAACATAAGTTCATAAGGTTTAGTACAAGCGGCCGAGCAAAACAATTGTTGAACCTTGTTGCCCGTTGGCAGGCTTTCGCCCCCGAGCTGCATCATCCGTTAAACTGAGACCTCGGTGTGTGTGTGTGTGCGTGTGCGTGTGCGTGTGCGTGTGCGTGTGCGTGTGCGTGTGCGTGTGCGTGTGCGTGTGCGTGCGTGTGCGTGTGCGTGTGCGTGTGCGTGTGCGTGTGCGTGTGCGTGTGCGTGTGCGTGTGCGTGTGCGTGTGCGTGTGCGTGTGCGTGTGCGTGTGCGTGTGCGTGTGGCGTGCGCGTGCGCGTGCGCGTGCGCGTGCGCGGGTGCGGGTGCGCGTGCGCGTGCGCGTGCGCGCG